ATGTTGAGGCCAGCAGGTGGCGCAGAGGTTAAGGCAGCTGGATCTCTCAAGGCCAACAGCATGATTCCAGTCTCAGACCTGGCAACTTGAAAAATACACCAGGTGTGTGTGCGCAAGCCCCAAATCCTGAGAGGTGAATGGAGGAGAAGGGATTGCAGCATGGCCATCTCTGCTGGCGGGTGCTTTCTCACTCTCCTTGTCCCCTCTCTCCAGTGCATACACACTATAACAAACGAAAAAAAAAAGAAAATAGTCCATGTTAAAAATTGACCGTCACAGGGCCAGCAAGTGGCATAATAGTTATGTCATTGGACTCCCATGTAGTTGACTGTGGTTTGAATCCTGGAGCTGATGGCTTAAACTCATGCCAGGCGTGTGTACATGCGTGCTCAAGATCCTGAGAGGAGAATGGACAAGAAGGGATTGCAGCGTGGCCATTCCCCCTGGAGGGTGATTTCTTGCTTTTTGTCTCGCTGTCTCTCTGTCTCTCTCTGACTTTCTGGTGAGTGCACGCATCCTATAGCAAAAACCTCTCCAAAAAATAAAAAGGAAAAAAAAAAAGTCAGCCTGCAAACACAGGATCCTGAGGGTCTAGAGGACTAGGAAAAGGGGATTATATTATGAGGAAGGTTAGAGTTGAGGGTACTTCTTTCTCTTATGCATTTGCACTCTATCATTAAATAGATTCATACTCTCAACCTATGGCCATTTAATTAATTTACTTTATTGTTATTATTACCTTAAGTTTGCACATGTGCCCACCAAAGAGAGAGAGAGAGGTGGAAAGGAGGGGAAAATGAGAAAGCAAGCCACGGTGTCTAGGACTCGAATCATAGTCAGCCATGTGGGAATCCAGTGCCTTAACCACCACATCACCCCATGGCTATTTTTATTTATTATTAATTTATTAGTCTTTCTACTTTGCTGTTTTTTTGTTTGTTTATTGTGGAATAACACAAATTTGCCATGTTAACCATTAACTGTATTAATTTCTCAAGATAAAGAAGGTAAAACGGGGTCAGACCAGTAATTTCCTCTTGCATTTGTGCACTTCCCATGTGCTCCTCACAGGATTTAGGGTAGCAACCTCTCTTCACAACAGAGTGACAGATGGGATGTAAGCCCCTCCCAGAAATGCTGTGGAGGCCCTGGCTGCCTGGGCTGGGCCTTCCCTCAGCCACTGGCCAGCTGTGGGAGCCACTTCCATAAACATGTCCCTCTGAAGAAGAGTCTTACTAACAGACAAACAAGTAGTACTCTGAAAACCTCAGAGGGATGAAAAACTCTTAATCTTTTGCAGACAGAAGGCCCTCACCATGAGGACAAAGCACTTACAGTGCTACCATCGTAGAGAATACAGGTGTCGGGCATCAGTGTAGACACAGGCACCTGCAAGAGTTAACTGAATGGCAGCAGACAGACCGAGGTAACCAGGGAGGAGCAAGCGGAGGGGCCTGGTGCTGAGGGCATCTGGAGGAGGAAGAAACACCATGTATAGGCTGGAGACTGCAGGGAGGCTGGCCGAAGAGCCAGGGTGGAACCAGGCCAGATCTAAATAGGCAGAAGCAGTGGAGGTGGGGAAGCACGTGAAAGCCGGGGAGGCGTGGGGGCCAAGGGGCCGGGGCAGGCCCAGCAAGCAGGCTGAGGACTGGTGGCAGAAAGCAGAGGCCAGGGACTGCGTCTCCCATGACAGCAGTACTGTCAACAGGCTGCGTCCCAGCTGGTGGCAGGAGGCATGCTCGTACCCACGGTGCTTAGCTGATGGAGCCTGCCAGGTTCCTGCCAGGGTTAGGGCGGGTGCGAGAGTGGCAGGAGAGCAAGACGCAGTCCTTGTCCTCAGCCGGTCCACACTGCCCATGACTCACAGAGGTCACAGCTAGCAAATATCAGTGACCTGGATAAGAAGGCTAAAGAGGACACAGGTTGGGTAGAGTTACTTACACCTCTTAAAATAGATCAAGGGTTCGGAGTGACCGATAAACTAGAGAAATGGCTTTGCAGAACAGGAGCAAGCAGAAGACAGACCTTACTAAGTCCTCTGGCCAGACAAGAAGGCCAGCCACTCACCAGACGGGAGAAACCCACTCCTGCGTCTTCACAGAGTCCAACAGGTAACTGCTGTTGCTTTAAAGAGTAGAGACAGGTGGCGTTTACAAAATATTTCTGTGCTGTGAGGTTCCCCAAGACTGGACCGAGCCTTTGAGGACATGGGACACAGTGTTCTGGTGGAAGACCTCACGGTGCCAGAGAAATCAACACGTAAAATAGATAAAAGGTGAGCTGCGACTGAGCTCGCTGTACAGAGAGGGCTAGGGGAGGAACTGGTGACAAGCACGAGACAGGAGCTACAATTACACAGGGTTCGGTTAACTGTACGAAAAGGCGAGGCCCTGGGGAAGCGAAACACCAGCTAATCCAGTAAGCTGGAGATCATTGTGGGCGCACGCCCAGTAAGTATGTAAAGACAGGGAAAAAGAGATTTTCCAGTTTGGCAGTTACCTGTTTGGAATCATTGAAACTAGGTTTGAGTCTCTAAGTTCCCTTATGTTTTGTTTTCATTTTTATTATGACAATTTCAAAATCTACTCAACAAGAAACAAAATTGTATAATAAAACTATGTACCTATTTCCCCACCCTCGGCTTCTGCTTCAAGAGTGAGGAACATTTTGCTCATTTCATTCTTTCACTATACTCCTTAGAAAGAACTGATTCTAGCGGCCAGCAGGTGGCGTGATGGTTAGGGCACTGGATTCCCACATGGCTGACCACAGTTCGAGTCCTGGACCTGGCAGCTTGCTTTCTCACTCTCTCTCTCTTTCTGTCTCTGGTGAGTGCATGGGCCCTATAGAAAATTTTGAAACTGATAATAGTAATAATAAATAAAATTAAATAAATTCTCTTTTAAAACCTGAATCTAAAGCAAATCCCAAACATGGTATCATTTGGGTGACACTTCTAAGGCCCAAACAATCCTATGATTCAATAGTTTTGGGAAGTCACTTGCGGGACAGTAAAACACTGGCACATAAAACTTTCTGCCAATTGCCCAAAGATTTACATAAAGGAAGACAACTAAAATATTGACTCTAAGTGCTCAACCTGTCATAATATTTAATGGTCATGCAAGAAAAAGACCCCTATATCTCAAATATTGAGTAGCCACTATATGCCAAGCACAGCTTTAGCTTCAGGGGACACGGCAATGAATCAAAGAGAAAGGGCAGGTGGTTAGTGTGGCTGATCCCACATGACCAATTCTGCAGTGTGAGTCCCAGACCCAGTGGCTTGAGAAACACGCTTGTGTGGGTACATGCTCAAGATCCCCAAAGGAGGGGGAACCAGCAGTTAGCGTAATGGCTATGTCGCTGAACTCCCACGTAGTCGACCGCAGTTCGTGTCCCGGACCCAGTGGCTTAAAACTCAAACCGGGCACGTGTGCGTGTGTGCCCAAGATCCTGAGAGGAGAATGGAGGAGAAGGGATTGCGGCATGACCATCCCCCCTGGGGGGTGATTTCTCGCTTTCTGTCTCTCTGTCTCTCTCTGTCTGTCTGGCGAGCGCACATGCCCTATAGCGAAAAACCTCTCACATGCCCTATAGCGAAAAAAAAGATCCCCAAAGGAGGGAGAAATGGAAGGAGAAAGAACTGAGGAGAGACCATGCCCCATGGTGGGTGTTCTACTGCTTCTCCCTGTCTCTGACTGTCTCTCCAGCGAGCACATGTGCCCTTTGGCAAAAGTGAATAAATAAGATAGAGAGAGAGAGAGAGAACGAATGAACCTATCCAAATGAGGCTTTCATACTGTCAAGTTTGGGGACCAAAAGTGAAACATACTCTGGACTTAATTTGACTCTCCTGAAGTCAGAGACCAATTCTGACATGACTCACGACCGAGTTTCAGAGAGCAGTGTGTATTTCCCTTTCACTGATAAACTGAGCCCTCTCCTGTTTAAAAATGGCATGCAGAGGCCTCTTGCCATACCATTGGTAGAGAAGGGGTCAATGTTCTGGCTCTCTGAATGTCTAATACTGCATCCCAACCAGTAATACATAAACACATCCCTAATACATAAACACTTTTATTTACGAAATACAGGCTGAGGATACTTACCTGAAATGCTAGGGACCAAAAAGTGTTTCAGATTTCAGATGTTTTTGGATTTTGAATACCTGCATATACCTAAGGTGCTCTCTTGGGGAGGGGACCCAATTCTAAACACAAAATTCATTTATGTTGTATAAACACATGACTGAGGGGTACAAGATTTTAATACTGCAGCATTCTGACTGTGACCTTGCCCATCAGGCCAGGTGTGACATCTCCGGATGCTCAAAATGTTTCAGATTTTGGAACATCTCAGACTTTCAGATTTAGCATCTTCCACCTAAATATACATGTACACTGTACAAGTTTCTGAGCATCGTAAAACACACACACACATGAATTTTAAAAGAAAGCAGAACAGGGAGTATCTCTAGAAGTTCTAGTATTTCCGTTGTGCACCCTAATGCAGGGTCCAGGCCTGCCCTACGCCAGGGTGCACACACCCGTTTTGGGGACTACCCCTCAATCTCTTGAGCACTTCCTGCCCTTTCTCTGGTGGCACTGCCTGGCTGAGTCTCCATCAGCTCCCTTGTGGCGACAGTAAGTAAAGTCGCTAACCGAAGCACCCTGTAAAGCTTGCCACCCTGGGAGGTAGAGGGCCGTGCCTGCCGCAGGCTGTGAAAAGAGAGGGTAACATCGAGGAGAGAGACAAAGACCAGAGAGGGAAGGAAGCACTGCTAGGGACAGTCCCCAGGCCACGTGGACTGGGTCTGCTTTCTGCATGAAGGAGAGCCAAGGCCATGGGCCAGGCCAGGCTCAAGGGCTGGCCTTATCAGAGGCGGCCTCTCCAGGCGACTCCGTAGCCATAGCAGCTACCCCAAGGGTCATGGATCTTCACACTGCCCGAACCCCAAAAAGGTCTCGGCATCTGTAAAGCTTATCTCCAACTCTTACCAGGAGAGGAAAACAGGGCGGCACTGCGTCAGGGCTAATCTGTGACTCTGGGCTGCTCAGCCAAAACCGTGGACCTCTGTTCTGTCCTCCACGAGGTGCCTGGTTGGACTGCTTGACAAGGCCCCTGCCAGGTCCACCTTCTGGGATCCCTCAGAAGCTTGTGTGAGGCACAATGTGAGCAATTGTCCTACAGAAGGAACAAAGAGCTGCTTGACTGTGTCACTAGTGGCAAGGAAATAAAGCCACGTATGATTTTAAAGTAGAAATACCAGGTAAAGGCGGGCTGTAGTACACTTACGTAAGATTAGCAAGAACTTGAGACTAATCTCCTGTCCCGCAGCCCACAAAGCCTGCAGCCACCTGCTTCTCTCACCAACTGAAACTGCTCTGGAAGCCACCCCTCGGATGCACTTCTCAACATTCAGTCCACACCAGGAAAGCTCAGGATCTGCTCCAGAGACTGTCAATACTTCGATCGTAGCGATAGGATCTAAGCTTTGCACAAACCTGACACAGATCAACCTAGACCTCTTCTACAAGACATGAGATCATCTGAACGTCTCCTGATCTCAGTCAATCATTAGGTAACATCTCATCTTACTAGCCTGTGTAAAATGCTGCTGAAAACACAGAAATGACAATGACTAGGTCTCCCGCACGCCCAGGGACTAGAGCATGGCATGCCTATTTGAGGAAGCAAGATGCACCCATGTGAAAGGCACTCGGTGGACAGAGGCAGGGCTGCACTGGACAGTGATCATCCCCATGCCTCTGTTGTCACCTGTTTCTAACTAAGGGCTTCAGCTGTCTGAATTAGACATGGCAGACTCTGGATTCGGGTGGTGATGCCGAGAATGAAAGGCATGGGTGTCTGTTCGGAGGAGCAGATCCGAAGAGCAGCTCAGAATAAGCAGAATCCACTGATGGACTAGACTGCCGGGTGTAAATAGAGGATAACACCAAAGTCCAGCCGTTCCTTGAACAGGCCCAGGGCCCAGGAACAAAGTCTACGTGTGTGTCAGGGCCAGAGGGGAGGGCGGATTGTGTAACCTTGGCTAAGTCACCCCATCTTCCTGCACGACAGTTACTGCATCAGTAAAAATGAGTGAGTCAGGCTCTTGCAGTGTTCTCGGGAGGCCATGGTTGCTCTGAGGCACCTCAGAGGCAGCAAGCAGGACAGAGATCTGGATTCTGATCCGGACTCACCCGACGCTCCAACCATGGAAGCCCCTGCTTTTATTTATTTCACATCTCTTGCCTAAAATGTCACTGAGAAAAAAAGGCCCCTAACCACTAGGTGATTCTACTGTGGCTTCAGACTCTCAAAATTCATGATTCTATTCATTGTCTAGTAAAAGTTTTTGGTGGGAAATATCAATAGAACATGCAGGGAAGCTCTGCTTCTAGTCGAAGGACCCCACGATACACAGCCGGAAGCAGCCCTGTGTGCCAGGGCGATCTACTACATGAGAGGGCCTTCTCCAGCATCTTTGCTGAGCTGGCTCCCTGCTCCCACCGGGAATAGGCTCCTCCCCCTGCACACTTAGGCACCGCCATGCATCATGACTATTCTCCAATCTCAGAAGACCAACTTCCAGGGCAAGCAAACCTAACTTTCTTTCTTTCTTTTTAAGACATTTTTGCTATAGGTTGTGTGTACTCACCCAAGAGAGAAAGTGAGAGATCACCACCCAGGGAGGATGGCCACACTTCAATCCCTTCTCCTCCGTTCTCCTCTTGGGATTTTGGGCACGCAACACACATGTCCAATGTGAGTTTCAAGTCGCCGGCTCCAGGACTCGAACTGTGGTCAGCCATGCGGGAGTCCAGCGCCTTAACCACTACACCACCTGCTGACCCCAGGTTGTTAACTTTCTAATTCTCTAGAAAGTCACAGCTATGTAACAAGGGATCTTATCATTCACTGAACTACGAGGAATAGAAGTGTGTTGTCTCTTCCGGCACTGTGGTGGCATGAAGGGACAATTCAAGGCAGACTGTGAGATGGGGGAAAACCAAAAAGCCATGGCACGGGAGCAGGGACCAAGACATGTCCTGTCTTGTCACCAGCTGAACAACCTGGAACTCTTCAGGCCCTCATGGACTGAACCTTCTAGTTCTGCAGGGACAGTGGAGTCGAGCACACAGTACTCAGGTACCTAGGTTCGAATCCAGGTATGGGCAAATTCATCTCTGCACCTGTCTCTCTCTCTGTAACAGGTGGATAATGGTGGGACCTATCTTGCAGAGTTGTTGGGGGAATTAACTGAGTGACGACTTATGAGGCACTGAGAACAGTGCTTTGCACTGTGGCCACCTACCCTGTCCCTAGCCTGGCTGTGTGCAGGGTGTGGACACCATGGTCTTGCTTACAAGTTGACAGCTGAGCCTTGAGGAAGAAACTACTCCTGAAGCACCTTTCTCTTGACTCGTAAAAGATTAAACGATTTTCAGGGTACTTTGGCCTTACATATGGGGACAGTAGTTCCATAGCAAACCTAAGAGGAAAGTGCCAATTCCTACATCAGCCAAAACTGTGCAAATCGACAGGTGGTACATTTACCAGAAGTCCCTCCCAGAATGAAGGCATGGTCTCAAAGACGACCCATGCTTCCTCCTCGATGCCATGGCCCCTTTCAATTTATCTTCCCAAATCATGAAATCCTTACTTCAACAGTGTTTGACTAGAATATATGAGCCCAAAAGTCCATTGAGACCCATTCATTAATAAAAATAGGGCTGGCAGGTGGTGTAGTGGATGGCGCACTGGACTCCCATGTGGTTGACCATCGTTTGAGTCCCAGATCTGGTGGCTTGAAACTCATGCCAGGTGTGTATGTGCCCAAAATCCCTAGGGGAGAAGAGAGGAAAAGGGATTGTGGAGTGACCATCCCCTTTGTGGGGTAATTTCTCGCTTTCTCTGTGTGTGTGTGTGTATTTGTGTGTGTGTGTGTGTCTGGGGAGCATACACACCCTATAGCAAAATCATTCAAAAAAGTTAATTAATTAAAATAAAATAAAAACAATTTTCAAATTGACAGTTTCCAGAGTTTTAACACATTAATATTAGGAAAAAAAGGGGGGGGGCACATCGAATTAGATAAGAAAGCATGGTAGGGACCAACAGATGGCATAATGGTTACATCTCTGGACTCCCAGTAGCCAACCATGTCCAAGTCCCAGCAGTGGCTTAAAACTCATGCTGGGCACATGTGCGCGTGTGTCCAAGATCCTGAGAGAACAGAGGAAAAGGGATTGCAGCGTGGCCACCCCCTGGGGGGGTGATTTCTCACTTTCTGTCTCTCTGGCAAATGTATATACTCTATACCAAAAATCTCCCTAAAAAAAGAAAGAAAGAAAGAAACAAAGAAAGAAAGAAAAAGAAAGAAAGAGAGAAAGAAACTACTGAAATAAACAGTTGTTCTTAAATATCCAATAATAGGGAGAAAGGGAATACATTTTGGTACATTCTATGCAACATGTAATACAGTCATTTTCAAAGCTCATTTATTTGTCAGAGGGCAATGAAAGAGAGAGAGAGAAAGCACTCCTCCCCATCGGAAAACATCACACTTCATTCCCTTCTCCTCCATTTCTTCCGCCTTTTGAGATTTTGGGCACAAGTGCGTAGCATGATATTTAGGCTACTAGGTCCGGGACTGAAACCTCATGGTCAGCCAAGTGGGATCCAGCCGCTCCAAAGACCACACCTCAGGCTGGCCCAAATCTCCTTTTAAAAACATACAGCAATATGGAAAGCAAATTCACATGGAAAGCAAGTTTAAGAGACAAGACATTTGCTCCAGACCAATGCATTCTCCGAAACAGACAGCACGAGACGTCCCCAGCTGTACACGGCCCAGGAGAGCAGAGCCTTCAATCACCTCCTTGCAAGTTTTTTGTCCAAAGGTGACATCCCTAGAGATTTCTCCTTCTTTCATCCCTCCAGTTTTGCTGTTCTGGGGAGAGCAAGACTACAGGAATACAGACTTGTGCTGCCAGCCACATTTGGAGAAAGGTTTTTTACTTCATCTTCTCCTCTTGGTTTCTCAAAGATTATGAGTGACTGAATACTGCATTATCTCCAACACAAGCAATACCTTGTAAAAAGCAGATTATATGTAACTGATCACTATAACTCAGATTGTGTGAGTGTATTCTCTTGCCACTGTTCATGTACACCCCAGGCTTACACAAACCAATGTTTCTAAAGAGTTAGTTTGTGGCCTCATATGGAAAATGATCATCTCAGAGTTGCTGTCATAAACACTGGTAAAACGCCTCTCTCTTCTAGTTCATAACACTTAGCTACTGTGTTTCTTTCTTCCTTTTTTTCTTTCTTTTTTTTTTTTTTTTTGAGAGGTTTTTGCTATAGGGCGTGTGTGCTCACCAGACAGACAGAAAGAGACAGAGACACAGAAAGCGAGAAATCACCCCCCAGGGGGGATGGCCATGCCGTAATCCCTTCTCCTCCATTCTCCTCTCGGGATCTTGGACACGCACACTGGATGTTGACACCACACCAACCCGGCCCCGATTTTTTTTTTTTTTTTTTTTTTTTTTTTTTGTAGGTAAAAAGGAAGATTTAATAGGAAGAAAGGAAAGGAAAGAAAGAAAGTATACCCAAAAAGGTTGTGGGGTGGGCAGATTGCCAGGTGGCAACCGCCACCCAGAATATTTTAAGCCACAGGGTCTGGGATGTGAACCGCGGTCGACTACATGGGAGTCCAGTAACATAGCCATTACGCTAACTGCTGGTCCCACTACTTGTGCTTCTTTAGAAGTTCTAAGAAGCTCCTTGAAATACCAGCTTGTTAAAGTGGCTAGATCCCACATGGTGGAATGTGCACTTTAAATCCTAGACCCTGAGGCCCAAGAAGCAAGCTGCATGTGGTGTATGAGCCCGAAATCCCACAGAGGGAGAAATAGAGGAAAAGGGATTGTGGTGTGGGCATGGTGGTGGCTGTAGGGGGAGGGAGGTTTCAATTTCTCACTCTCTAGCACTGAGCACACACCCCTCTGTAAATTGGAGGGGCGGTGTCAAACTCAATTGTTCACAGCTTCCAATCACTGAGGTCTGTTCACTGAGACTTCTCCGCACATGAGTGTCTTAGGTAGTTTATGACCCAAAAGTGTCTGCCTGACTACCAAGGTGATCATCAACCTTCAGAAAAATTCCTAG